TAAGAGGATAGCTATTTTGCAATTTTGTCTTTGTTTTTTAAAATAACATCATTTTAGTTTTATTTGAATTTAAAGAAAGATCTAGTTTTAAAAGCCTGTGCTGAACCGAATTAAAAGCAATTTGTAAAGTAAACACACACACACTAGGGTTTTTTCCAAAACTGTAAAAAACCATGTCATCAGCATAAAAATGGTAGTTAGTGTCTATATATATAGTTACTTTTGACACCCCTACTGAGCTATGAGGAGCTCTTCTCTGTTTTCCTTTTTCACAAAGGTGTAGATGCAAATCGCATGGCAAAGTCATTGCTCAATACTGTCAACTGGGGCAAATAAAAAGATGACTTAGGTGGAGAAATAATGGAAAACAGAATGCATCAGTCAACAAATTTCCTACTGTGAAATTGACAAAATACATGGTTTGGGAATTTTTCACTCAGTGGTTCTTACTTTTACATTTGCATTTTTTCCTATCTCTTGCATTAGTACATAATCTTTGCTCATCGGTGCGCAATTTTAGTCAAACCCTACTCGAAATTGGAAAACTACTCTAACCCTGCCTGAAAAAAAGGACATAATGCATGTAACCCTTTTTCTTTTTTAGTCCCAGTTTTTTTTAGGGTTAGGGTTAGAACATATGTATTTCCATTCGACAAAATTCATGAAAATAGTTCAAAAGTTTTAAACCTTGTAACCTTGTGATGTCTCTGTTTCAACACACCTGAGTTAAATAATCAGGCAATTAGTAGTAGATTAGGACTGTGTCAAAATGTCTGCCCTAACCTTTTTATAGGGCACTATATAGTTATTACACCATTTTAGATGAGTGTCAAAACGTCAAGTGGATGAAAATGTAGTGGATTCGAAATGTCCCACAATGCACCTTGAAAAGTAGTGATTATCTATGGTTACTAAATGAGCAGATTTATTCCACAATGCTTCTCGAGGTGAGCTCTCCTCGCAAAGCATCATGGGATTTGTTTTAACAGTGACCCACTGTCACCTACCACTGTCACTACCCGACAGTAGTGACGAAAAACAAAGGTCCCGCAAGAACCGTGCGGCAAGGCAGAGTTACGTGACCAACAAGGAGTGAAAAGTAATTGGATAGACCTACAACCAATAAGAGCAAAGGAGTGCGTGACGTATGTTAAGTGACGCATAGTTGTTGTCAACAAAAATCAAACCGTGCAGTTGCACGCCTGGAATAAGAAGATGAGCCTTGATCGTGTTTCTCTGTTCCTCTTTTAAAATTAATTTGCTGTCAATATCTTCTAGAACAGACCTAATAGCAGAATCTACTCACCTCAACTCTCCAGCGGCAGCCATTGTTGTTGTCACCGAAGCGCGCTTTGGTCACGTGGTTAATTACGTTACTGTTGATCATCTGTCCATCATCGTATAAAGCCCGCCCTGACAATTTGATTGGATCGCCAGAGAGTGGGCGATCATACTCGCGCTACTATGGAGCAATGCCAGACCGAACTTCCCGACCTCAAACCTTTTGGGCGGGACTAAGTTTGGAATGGCACCCAGGCTAGGAGATAGGCACCAGCCCCACTGCGACCCTGATGGATGAAGTGGGAGAAACAAGGCAAAATCCCACAGTCTTTTTTTTTTTTTTTTACAGTGTCCTGTCTGGCAATGTGGCAATAAGAATAATTGTCTTGATGCCAAAAAGAGCCCAACAGATTTTACTTTCACAAGTGTATCAGTATGGCAATTGCCATATTGCTCCACTTGTTTCATGTATATAAATTGCTTTATTATAATTATGCAGGGAGTTTTACAGTTTATATGGACACTGCAATGTAAATAGCAGTGTCTTAATGGATTTGGGAACAATGAATGTACAACTTTGAGCCAAAACAGACTGCAGGTAAGGAATTATGATGGTTTAAAGAGATAGCTAAGGATAGCCTGAAACGCTCTCACTCTAAGCTTCTTCAAAAGGAAACTTGGAAGCCTAGTCTTTAAAAGCAAAAAGGATTTCTCTCATGAAAGCCATCCACAACTGCACATACCGAGGTTTGCACTCCAACCAGATTATTCCCAACTGAAAATCAGGTTTATATTGAGTAAAATGTTATTTAATCTTTTCATCACAATATTTGACAAGGGAATTGATAATTATCTCTAACAGGAATGGTTCCTAATAGCCTAATAGCTGGAATTGATCATTTATAGGATCTTGTTTTGACTTAGAGCAACCAGAGTACCCAAAAATCTTAAAAGCCACATATGAAATCCAATCTTTCTTTTGCCATCTTTTCAGACCAGATCAAAAAACACATTTTCTTCACAAAGAACCTTTTGAGTCACATGGATAATGGATGGATGGATGTAAGAGAAGCATCTACAGCATAATCACACTATTTTGAAGCCTTTCACTCTCTGTGACTGTAAACAAAAAATGTGTTTTATTTATTTATTTTTGAGAAATCTTTCTAATAGCTCTATGTTGAAAGGGTGAAAAAAAAGATGAGATGATATATTTTTGCCTCAAAGATCATGTTATCCAGAGAAATTAGTAAGTTCTACAACATTAAATAGTAAAGAGATCAGATCCCTTGTAACTATCAAAAAGCAGTCAGCATTATAAATAATTTTCCCCCAGGACTTGCATATAAAGGTAAAATAAAAAAATTAAGAAAAGGGTCACAGTATAGTTTATGCCTCTGTTGGAACAGATACGCGGGAGTAGGCTCTCAATAGCCAGGACACTAAGGTAACCACAGTGGTTGTATTTTACCCATATTTGCTATGATTATACTTCCATTTATAGCACCACTTTGACTTTGTGTGCCTTCTGTCAAATGGAGAGCCTTCTTCCCTCCCAAAACACCCCCATCTGATTATTTATGTTCACATAAAAAACAACTTTGTGTATTATTTCCATATGCACTTCCTTTATTTTTAGCAAGGATTATTGAGTAAGTTCATTTCTACAGTTTTAACTTCCATTCAACTCATTTTCAGCATCTGAGTACATTATTCTGGGTAAATAGCATTTTTTTTTTTACCGTACATATTTTGTGCAAGCTAGCTGTGGAGAGTGGGGAGACAGATGGCTTCATTAGGAATTGTAAAGGAAGAAAATATTCTAACATAGTTAACTTTGGAAAAAGGTTGGCTTTTCATTTTCTTCCCTTCCCCAGGTCCACTCGGCGAGCTGCGTGTGGTCACTATGAAAATCAGCAAGGCGTGTTGACATCACAGAATTACAGAGTTTAATCCAATATAAGACAATGCATACACTTAGAAATAAGACAATGCACAAACCTACACCAGAAACTGCAGAACAACAGAGACATACATTCCATTACCTGACATGAATGGAGAGAAGGAAATAAAGCAAAGACGTACAAGACATCTTTGGAGAGTTTGCAAGAGCAAAATCTGATCTGTAACTTCTATTTAGAAAGCTTTATCCTCTTGTATCTAATCCATTCAAAAAGGGCTGGCCCTCGGTCCTCCAACCAGAGCCATCTCTGACACTGAGCTTCACCTAATTTACTGCAAACATCTGGGGTCATTTGCTTCTTTGTTTTAACAAGAAAAGGCGGAAAGCTTGTCCTGGCATCTAGCATTCCTAAAGTCATAAAACACAAGATAAGCTCTCACAGACAGCTTGTGGAATGCGGGGGGCCTCACTTTTGACCTTCTGTAAACCAAGCAGAAATCTCTCCTGCAGGCTTAACTGTTATTCACCCCCCAGGAGATACTCATTCTATGGGCTGGTGGTCTAAATACTTATCCATTAGTAGTTTTAAATCATTAACACAGCCTTGTTCAAAATTAAGAAATATGTTCAAGTGAGAGTGTTTACACATGCCATAAGATTAACTGTATTAAAGTCTAAAAAATAATCATTTTTCTTTAACAGTCCCCGTTTTGAGGTCTGAGACATACAGACCTCACAAATAAAATGATTAAGCCTTCTAATAGAGGAACCAAAAAACTATTTAGTATACTAAAAAACTAAAACATTAGCCCAATTTTTATAACAGTCCCCTTTTTTAAACAGCACCTCCTAGTTCCACTGCCAGGTCATGTGTCTGAATCTGAACTCCAGTATCTAAACTTATCAAATGTATCTTGCGCTGTCCAACAATTTAATACTCACCTGATGAACCACAAAATTTTAACCAGTAAAAACTAAACTAAAAATACATTTCACTTATCAAACATGAAAAATCATAAAACTCAGTTATGTCAATAGAAGAAAACACACAATAAAAATATCAGCCCAAGTATAAAATTGGAAAACCAGAGTAAGATATCTCGAAATTACTAAAAAATGCTCAGCAGACTTAAAAAACAATACTCGCCACAAAAATTACAATTTGTCAATACAAAACAATAACAACATAAAAAAATACATCATAAACACATAAAAATTACAAAAGACCTTTTTTTTTTTTTTTTTTTTCACAATTCAACAATAAGAAGTTAGAGTTCGTCTCTATGCTCCTTCGATAGTCTTTCAAAAATGAATATGAATTCTTCGTCAGGAAACGATCCAAAAATACGCGCAAAAAGAAACGAATGTTCTTGAAGAGTTCGCAAAAAAACGAAAACACGCAATAAAAAGAAGATAAGTTAATGATTATCTTGTAGCTGGATCCTTCACGTGTTCCTCCTCGGTTGTAAACCTCAGGTTTTCACCTGAGTGTCCGTTGCTCACTGAAAATTGGAGTATTATGCCAATTTAACAGTGAGTTTAAGGAGAGGGTGCAATCTCCTTTTCTCAATGGAAAGACACCGGAACAGGATTATTGTGCCTGTCTGGGCCTTTTAAGCCTTGTAATTCAGGAAAATGAAGTGGTTTTGGCAGACTTCTGCCCGGAAATGCAGATCCTCCTCCGCGCTGTGATGGCCCTCAGACACTCCTCGACCGCAGGTTGAGACTGTAGATTCTCCTGTATGCCCTGCAGCGTGCGTTGTGGCTCCTCAGCTGACTCCAATGGAACCACATGTCTCCTTTTCCCTTGTAGACGGACAGCATGAGATGTACTCTCCACGACTCGGTATGGTCTGGCGAAGCGAGGTTCAGACCATTTTCTTTTGATGACCATCAGGCGCACCCAGTCGATTTCCCGAACTGATCCCGAGCCTGGACGTTCCTCTGTTGTCTGATATTTTGTAAATTCCGCTGCCAGGACCTGTAACTCATTGAAGAAATCTGTATGAGATAAATGTGCAAGCTTACCTTTCCATCCTGGAATGCGGGTAGCAGGTCCTGGAAACATCCGTCCTGTCTGGAGCTCATATGGGAGAACCCTGTTGATTGGTTAATGATTGATCCTACACTTTATGACAGCTTCACTGTCTTCCTTTTGTATTATAAATCTGCTACTTTGGAGCTGTATTTTAACCATCCTTTGACCCTCTTTTTATATAGGGCCTACATGAGAAATGAAAGTTTCCTATCATGTTAAACCCAAAACTTAACTGTATTTTAGAAGCAGTTCCATAACTGTTAATTTGTAAATCTCCAATTTAGACAGATTTAATTTCAATCATCATCTTTTCTATTTTTTTAAACTTTAAAAATGATCAGCCTGCTTTACATGAGTATAGTTAACCTTGTCACTAAATATCAAAAATGACCTACTTTATTCCAATCATAGTTTTAAATCCCAAAAATTTCAACCTTTTTACCTTTGATCCATTTATTCTTTTGAAAAACAATTTATAACATATTTAATTGAATAATGTATTACCCTTTTTATATTGTTTATCAATTATCAATGCCTTTTCAGTTTTGGAGAGAGATTCGATACAGCTAAATTTATTAAATGATGTAAATCTTTAGTTTAGACCTTCCTGGATGTCTTAGTTAAACAACTTATTTTAAAACATATGAATAGAGATACAACAATCCAACAATCACCTTCCTTAGTTTAAGAACACTATTCTATGTAAATTATTTGATAGACAATATTTTGTTTAGTATATTCAATTTATACCTTTTACTTATTTCATATCCAAATAGTTAGCTCATCTTTAATGCTGCTAATACACCGTAAAACATTTAATGTATTTTGATTTAACTTCAATAACCTCTTTTTCCGAAAAGTAAAGAGAGATCCAAACTAAAATTTGCCCATCAGATCAATTCCATTCATGTCCCCCTGTTTCTATAACAGAACAAATGTTCTGTCATAGAATACAATAAAAATCCTATACAACTCATTGAGATGAAATCCGCCATCACCACTAACTTTAACCTCATGTAACACAGTTGGATGCAATTCAAACATGGTGTCCCAGTTACTGTTACAATCTGCACACCTCAATCAAAGAATTTAATGTTTGATTAAATTTATGAAATCAACACAGAACTTGGTGTCATTTGCTCAGTAAGCTCAATAGACACCCATCAATCCACTTTAACACCTTAATTTTAAATTCCATTTAAATTTTAAATTTAGTTTTACTGAATGATAGCCTCTGTACTATGTAAATAAAATTTAGATCATCTTCCTTAGTAGATGAAGCGTAACACACAATGCAATTCAGCTATAGTTAAGAAAAAAATATGTAATTGCAATAATTAGTCCCTGCCCATTCTTTTCAGGCAGGAAGGGAAAAAGACACATTTAGCATTTTGTGAGACAAACAGAGTGAATCATGGAGGAATGCAGTGTCGTAACAGTTGGTGCACACCAACCCCCAACTGCATCGTAAAACCTCTGACCCCAGGAGATGGGGTTGTCCTCAACACCTAGAATTACACTGCAGGGCTGCAGGACGTGAAGAAAACAGGGCGCCTCAGTGCTATATCTAAAATAAGAAGAGAACAATGGCATCACACACTACAAAAATTTAAAGAAAAGAACTTATTCACCACTACCAAGTTGTGTTGGCACCCATTTCGTCTCCAACCTGCAGACTGAAGGGAACCCCAGGAGTGGGCTCTGGCGCCCAGGTCACATGATCAGAGGTGAGAATCCAGGATCAAACATGAGAACACACAACAGGACCACCGCTGAGCAACTTGCCATGCCCCAATTCTTTATCTGCTGAATCAGAAGGTGTCCAGAATAGCAGTCATTCCAGCAGTGCAGAAACATCTGGATACAGTCCCGCTTTAATGAACTTTGGTCAGCCTTTCGTGGTCGACAGAGCAGGACATAGAAACCAGCAGACCAGTCATCTACTGAAACCCCCGTCCAGGTTTGGACAAAAGGCTATGATCTTTGTGGTCCCGACTCACTGCTGATTCCCAGCCATAGAAGACTCCCCCAGATAACGCTTGAGTCCCTTTTGTTTTCAGCCAGGCATGAAAAGCAACAGTCAAAGGAGACATCTGTTGCCAGGTCCTATGAGCAGCACTTTGCAATCACGTGCAGCATCATCATGTACAGCAGGTGAACAGTTCGCTTTCACTGACCTTCGTAATCGCTCAACAGCGTTCGGCTTTCATACAACAGTCCAGCAGAAGATGGGCCTAATTCAGCATCATCATGTCTTTGTTCAGCAACAACAGTGGTCTGATGCGGTAATCAAGAAGATCCCTTCAAATACATCTTCCCATGATCTCTGAGCTCAAAAGACCCTTCCCCCAAGATTGCCATCAAGTCAGAAGGAAGGAGAACTGCCAGAGAAAAAATAATACAAAGTAATTAAAAAGCAAAACTTATATTTGCCACATTTTGTTACTTTTACTATTATAAATAAAATTTATCTTGTGATGCATCCTCCCGTGTGGCTCTAGATTTGTTGTTGTTATAGCACAAACGGCCAACTGCCCCAAATCCTGAACTGCAAAAAGAATAAGCATAGATATGTGTTAAAATAGTCCACGATCGGATGTGCCAGAATTAAGAAAATAATGACACTTACTGTTCAAAGTCAATAAACGTCAATACCTCGATGACATTCACTCTGCTTGTGCCAAATATCAACTACAAATTCTAAAATCACAACCTCACAAACTCATTAAAGAATTAGAACAAACTCTAGAATGTCCAAGTACTGATACTTATAAAAGTTGTGATGGAATTGCCCTTGGTCAAATAATTATGAATTGCATATTGTTCTACTAAATACCAAACATCCTTATCATGGTCCCACGCTTCAAGACAAAGTCCTATTTCAAAATTTCAGAAATCCTTTACATTTTATCTGAATTTCATAGCAGTTTTAACCAAAATTTTCCTCAAAATTAACAATTTACACCCAACTGTATATAATCAAAGTCAGCAGTGATGCAGAAATCTATCAACAATTTAAATGTAAATAGACATGGCATAGATGTTATTTGAAACCGTTCAATTTGAGATGATCAAATCTAATTTAGTAGAAGCTTCTATATCACATACACCATATTGTAGTAAAGCAGGAAGGCCATATGACTCTACATTAAAGAAATCCATAATTCACTATTGTTGAATCGAAAAAAATCAAAATTATTGATTAACTAATTTACCATTAACCATATCCAAAAATTTACCAGGAATTAGGGTCTACTTCTGCTTCTCCCCCTGTTGATATAATAAAATTCTCATTTTGAAAACAATTTGGAATCTATGTCACTTTTATATAATAATTTGCTGAAAAACCAAAATATCATAAGATGTTCCACCATTTCTCCAAATCTTCCATCTAGTATTCAAACTAGACTGAGATTATGTAAATTTCAAAGTTCCATCTGTAATGTCTTATCTTTATAACATCCCCCTGTGTTTTCTTATTTCCAAAAGAAAAACAATTTAGAGGTGGAAAAACAAAAATGGAAGAACTTACCCCCATTATGCTAAAATTTCAACATGTCCAATCAGTCACCCATATGAAATATAAACCAAGTTTATTTAGTTAGAATTTAGGTTAGTTTGTTAGTGTTGTTAGTCAAAGTGGATAACACAATTTCCTAATAACTACATCTATCTGCTTTAAGCCAAGGCTGAATTCTCGTTTCATATTAATTTCACTGCACAAGCAGATGATTCAGCTTCAACCAGATTGTGACACCAAAATATGAAATCGTCATTACCTTAAAATTGTCCCTTAAAGCAGTAATAAAAACATATTTATGAAACAAAACCTTCAGTGTACCTAAATAGTTTAAAATAAGAAAAATATCACACAGCTACACACTAAACTGAGGTCATGTTTACATAGAGCATCCTAAAGCCCATCAAAGGCCATCTGCCTCCACATTCACTCTCATTCACACTCAAGCAGACTCATCAACACATTGTAAGAAAGATGCAGGATGTTACCCCAGATTTCAAACCAAAATTCATCCTGTAAAAGTCTTAAACACAAATATTATAACACCATGGTTGAAAAAAAATAATAAAAAGACATTATTATCCAATAGTTCTAATATTGTTCAGTTTTGAGTGAACCTTTTAAAAAACTCCAAATTATACACACAACCGTATTTCATGATAGCCCACTGTTATTAAATGGCTACCTAGACCCCCTGTAGGAAAACCCAAAAACCGTTCATGTGGTCATGTAATATGCGAAATGGGCTGCACACGAAGATCGTCCTACAAGAAACAAAGTCATTCATTAGTGTTTCAACATGTCCCACATTAACAGTGTAGAAAACACTGTTAAGCAGAAAAACATCCATATGTTCTCCTGTTCCAATCAGTGAGGGTGTTCCCTCCTGTGTCAGGAAACCTAGAAATTTAAGTGATTGTCAATGTTACAGTATTATAATAAACAATTGGATCATTCCAGTGCTCAAGCCTGGAACTGATGCAACACATTTCACCCGCTGAGAAAGTAAAAACATCTGTAAATCTGTTATTTTGTACTTTTCATTTCAACACAAAACACAGTCCTAAAGCAATTCACATCAAAATCCAAGAACCCTGAAAGCGTGAGCTGGAAATAGCACAGAACTGAAGCACTCCCAAAATGCAAATAAGGGGGGTCAATCAGTCCCCCTGCTGTGAAACAAAACTTGCATCCAAAACGGAGACACCTCTGTCCCACAGAAGCACATTTTAACAGAAAGTTAGAAATACAACATCCAGCAAAAATATTTAACAATATTTCAGAACACAATCTTGAAACACAAATCACTTCCGCACAATCTCAGCACAATTCAGACACAGACAGACGAATAGACAGCAGCGCGTGGTGGGACATAGGCTACAGTATAACGGGGGAAGACAGACACACAGCCACAAACACAAAGAAACATACAAAACACAGAAACACAGACAACGTTGTAGTTCAGTCAAGAAAAGACAGAAGAAAAAAAAAGAAAACGTCAGGAGCCGGCTAAAAGAATGTATGA